GCATTCCTTAACTCGGGTGATTCTTTTCTTCTTTCTTGGGGGTTGAAGCTCTGGGCAATTGAGTGTAACAGTCATGGTGGTGAATTTCTTGGGCTTGCAGAAGGAACAAGACTGGAAGGAGCCTTCCTCTTTACGGACATGCCTAGGGATGTAAAATGAATTGCACTGGCCGTAGCAGAACCTGTTGATAATGGTACGACTGTTGCAGCCTTCTTCATGGATAGTTTGTTTGAGAGGTTGAGTTTTACACCAATCTCGCTTTAAGTATTTACGCTCCGTGATGTGCAAGGCCTCCTGGCTAGACTCCAGCACTTCTTCAGCAGGCATCGAGGTGCCTTTTCCTCGTTCTCGATGCCTAGAGCCTGACTGCTGTTGTGTCTGCATTTGCTCTGAATCATTGGGCTGATCTTTGTCAGGAGGAGGGATAGCACCTTGAGAGCCACGATTCCTCTTTCTTGCTTCTGCTGCTGGTAGAAGAAATCCCATCAGAAGAAACACAGCACCGACGGCACACAGTGTGCGGAACATCCTATATGAAGGAAGTTGAGGGAATAAAGCACAGTTGTGGATTTCAGATATCAGCAGAATTCAGGTATGCAGTAAATTTTCAGTTCTAAAAAATAAATATGTTTGTGTGCACACACACACTTACAGAAGATAAGCACTTAGCCTTTAACAGCGGGAAAGCTGTTTCCAAATGACCAAGCAATAAAAGCTTTAATGTATGGTGATTGAAAGTCAGAGGCTAAAGTGAGCCCCAACAGCATGCATCTTTTCCCTCCTCTTTTCTCCATGTATATTACCCTAATTAAGATTGTTCATTCCTTTCTTACAGCTCACTGACATTAGGAATGTTGCTCCTGACTTACACTGGTGGAAGAACAGATGTCATTCTATACAAGGATTTGTATGTCACAGCTATGTGCAATACCAGAGGACTAAATTCTGACTCAGGAGACACAGTGTAACTATGTCTTCCTTAGTAGATTCAGAAGCTTTGTACAGCCTCTTGCACAATACACATCCAGAATACAACCCGCACGCTACATCCACCTGTTGTCTGAATTACAGCATCTCAAGTTCTATTACATTGCCTCTCTGAACTGATCCAATGCATCCGAGTATAATGAAGCTTAAGCTAACAGATGTGCAATCAGATAGACAACTAATAAAGGAATATTTATGTAAAGGTTAAAAGAGATGCATCTGTACTTTCAAATTACACCTTCTCACACATTACTCTGAATCTTTGACAGATGCAATCACAGTGTTAAGAATTCTTGAGATCTTTACGTTTTATTCATTATATACAGTGTGATATTGAAAGGAGAGATGAGGACAGCAGAGTTTCATATATGACATTAAGTATCATGAGGTGCCAGCATCAGAAAAGAATGTAGTTTGTGCACACACACAAAAAAACACTTCAAGAAGTGCAGTAAGTAGAGACTATCAGTTTCTTCAAACAGTAACCCTGCTCCCAACCCAATTACTAGCATACGAACAGCTATCATACAACAGCTAGCATACAACAGCTTTCTTGCCTCCCTTATTCCACCATTTCTGAGAGCCAAAGCTCTCAGCTCTTCTGGCTGCTCAGTCAGCTCAAGACACCAACCAGCTGGGAAGAAAGTCATCAGCTCTCACACGTTTCCCCCCTTCCAGAAGTATTGTGGTCTCCATGTTGTTCTGGAAAGCAAGGGACTTGGCAGCAAGAGAGACAGATCGGGGAATGAGGCTCTCAGGGGACCCTCCCCCTCCCCATGGGGAGCCTGGAAGAAAACACCCAGAAATGAGTGACTGCTTAAAACAGTCCATAACCAAAACCCCATAAAACAGCAAAATTGTGAAGACGCACATGCATTAAAATGGGAAAGAACTGTGAAAATAACCTGAGGACATTGGTGTCTTCTACCTGCTTGCAGTGCTGTGGTTGTATCCTTTGGCTCGTCTTATCAGTAAGGGACAAATTACTGTTTGAGAGTCCTGCTTGTGCTACTACCCTAGAAACATATGTGAAACCAAGGCCAGCGTCCTGGACGGCTTTATCCGCTCTGCCTGAGACCACACAACTAGGCAGGAAAGCAGCCAAATGCCAACGCTGTAAGGGCCACCAGGAGACTCAGCAGAGGCTCAGGGTAAGTACCGTTTGCTATAAAAGATAACTGTTAATTTCTCAGTTACTAGGTCTTTCCAGACACGCAGAGAAAATAAATATTATTCTATTTAAAGTGCATTTCTCACAGAATGGACTGGAAAACGAATGAGCAGAGTAGAAAAGTATCATCAGGGGGTTCCATTGCATTCAGGGATTTGCTTATGGATTTAGTATCTTAAGCGTTCAACTACAGACTATTAGAGCACCTAGAGACTGTAATACATATTATAAATAGATGCACTCATTTTATTCATTTCTGTTTATGTACCAGTATGTCCCATGCTTGGCAGAAGCTTCAGGCTTCAAGCAATGGATGTAAGACTGACATTACTGCTGACTCCAACAGGAAACTTGGAAGGGCTGCTTTTAATATATAAATTAAATATGGTACAGAACATGTAATTGTAATAACCTTAAGGCTCTGACATAGAACACATAAATAAAAGTTGAGAATTCTAATTGAAGACTAATGCAGCATAATTTCAAGTGTCAGCTTGGACTTGACATTTTCTGGTTGTTGCCTCTTTCTGTTACAACCTGAATGTTATTTAAACATGTTTCTTTATAAATTAAATTTTTTCTTTAGTTTTTTTTTTTTAAGAGTTACAAAACACTGCTTGTTTCCTCAAGAAACCAGAATTATTCTTTCCGAAACTATTCCTATTTTTCTGGTGACTGTATACCCATGCTGTATTTAGGTGATATTTTAATATGCACTTTACTTACTCAACATGGTGCCACAGTCTTAAAAGGAAAAAAAAAAAAAAAAAAAAAGTAATTGCATGAAACTGAAAATAAATTGCTAGTTTATAAGCAGTGCCAGAAAACTTCAGGTGTTTGTTTAGTGTCCCATATCTGAGCTGAAGTTTCACCAACATGTCTGAACTTTCATCATATCTCCTGGACTGCTTTTATTTCTAAACCTGATGATCTGCACGTTGTTTCACCTTTTTTTTTTCTTTTTCTTTTTTCCTTCATCAGTGTGCAATTGATGACACAGTAAGGCCTAGTGATGTGAAAATGAGGTGTACTTTGGGATGGGAATTTGGAGGAAATTTGATCTTAATGATGTTGACTATTAT